TCATCATACTTGTAAGCATTACAAAATAACATTTTGAATAATCATTTGAAAATCAAAAATTATCAATGATCGTTTTATCATATGTCGACATACACACAACATAAAGTCAAAGAAAGTCAGAAGCACGCGAAAATTATACAACATAAGTTAAAGATATTTTAAAAGTAAAAGAAATACATCTAGCGTCATCTCTCGCCAATACGATGTACGAGAAACGACGAATCTTTCGATAAGTGTTAATTTAGAAAACATATGAATGGCATAAAAAAGTTTCATTATATTTTTTTTCTTTTTCTTCTTCTTTTTTTTTTTTTTTATTATATATATATATAAATACATATATAATATTTATATGTATATTATGGTTTTAAAGGAATAATTGGCCAATACTGAGGTTTCGCTTTATCCCTGTGTCTATCAACCGTAGCCTGAAGCGCAGTTTCCATTGCTAATATTGTGGAACTTGCATCACCATATAACAATTTTGCATTACTGTTCCTTGTATGCATCCATGTTGCTCCACCTTGAATATTCATATTCTCCTCTTCCTCTTTCTTTTTTTTAATTAGATATTTCTGATTCTCTCAATTTTTTCAATTCAAATTTATGTCTCATGCTTTGTTCCAAGAAATTCATCATTTCTTCATTTACATGAAATTCAATATTTCCACTTTCTTCGCTCGATGTTGTTTCTTCGCATTCTTCTTCTACATTCGTACACTTGTAATCATTTTTCTTTTTGACATTCAAAGAATACTGTTGATCCTTTTCACGTATCACAGATTTCAATTTATCCCTTAATATTTGATTTTCATGTTCCAACGCGATACATCGAGTTTTCCACCAAATTATACTATGTCTAAAAATTAATATTATTTATCAAGATATTTTTTCTTTCGCTTTTTTCGAATTGAATCCGATGAAATTTCGATCATTCTTTACACTTTAATAAATATATATAAACTAACCTTTTTTGCCATTCCTGAGCAGCCGTGTAATTTTCCCAAAAAGAATTAGCTTGCATCGTATCGGTGATTAATTTTTCTTTAGCGATAAAAATATTACAACGTTCTGAAATAAATCCCAAACGTTTTGCAGACTTAACCTCAAATTTTATTTGTTCGCGTCGTTGCTTTTTTAAATGTCTCCTTCTTTTTCGACTTCTTACACGTTGTATACCAACAAATTCCATATCTTATAATCGTTTCGTCCAAAGTTACGATCGAAGAAATAACATTATCCACCCATTTATATTATTTCACAGCAATCATTCACGACCAACGAGACATCTAAATGTACAATAGTACAAGCACAAATTAAATCTTTCATTCGATCTATAACCGATACGTTTAGTACGATACGAATATTTTCGCAGATGAAACGAGAATAGATTTATCAAGCGATCCATCGAGTTATTAAGTATAAAAATATTTAAATCATAAACGAGATACAAAATATGCGTAACTATAACATCCAATAAATTTTTTTTGTTCCATTCTAGGAAAATTACAAAGTCCCATATCAATTATTATATTTTTTATTAATATCGTATAATAAATAGAGAAGTTCGACAATTAACTTTTAATTAACTTTAAATTGTTAAATTATTAATTATCGCATTTCATTTTTCATGACATACGATGAATATATCGGCTGTTGTTACGCATTCGAGAAATTGATCGAATAAGAAAAAAAATTTATTTAATCGAATTAACAACCAGTAACAGCATTGCCCGCCATGTAAAAGATTCTTAAAAAATATTCTTAAAAAAAATAAATTTAAAATAGTAAGTTATTTCTAAAATTAATAAATTCAATGATTATATTACATTATATTACACACATAATAATTTGTATATTACTTAAAATTAATATTAATTATAAATAATTAATATTAAATAATTATATATACTTAAAAATAGAATATTAAAAATATATATATATATTTCACGTTAAAATAACGTTACAAGTGATAATTTTCGTTAGACAGATTCGTAGAACTATCCGTATCGTTATCGATATTATTGACCAGTTAAGACGGATAATGTTGTTCGTTAAATTATAAGAATAGGTACAAGTTACATTCATCACAGATAATACGTAGGATGAACGCAATATTTTATCGGATTTTGCGTCACATGTTCTGAAATACCGATCTCAAAAAAGATCATGTGGCGACATCACAACGAAAACTATTTTACCGACCATTGATCCGGTCAACAAGTCAAAACGACACGTGACAATGGAGGATAGAAGTCGAAAGCGTGGCGATTGGATATTACAAAGTGAGAATATATCTATAATAACAATGATTAACAACAAAATCTTTTAATTTTTCTTTTCTTATTCTAGTAATTCTAACGAACATGAAATTAACGATTGCGATTTCGATGTGATTTCGCAAGAACATAAAAAAAAAATTGCAAGCACGAGTTGGTTTCACGAGAAGATAAAATAAGCGGGCATGTTATGCACAGTTAACATGAAATGAACATAGTTTGTATAACTGTATAGACAGGAAATTAAGGTAAACGATGAATTTTTAAAATTATTACGATAGAAAAGCAAATGAACAAACTCGAAACAAAATTGAATATTGGACAAAAAACAGCTGGAGATAAGCTGGAGATTGAAATAAACGATGAATCTTTAATGTTATTACGATTCGAATAAGAAACATGCATCTTTTTTTGATTTCAGAAAAATCAGATATAACGGATAAAATAAGACAAAATGTGCTCGGTGGATGCGTCATGGAAATAAGAAGAAAATTGGCATACAACAAGCTATGGAAACAAAAGAAAGATGTAATTGAAGAAATTAAAATGATAATCAAGGGCTTGAAAGGCAACAGAAGATTTCAATAGCGAACCCAATAGCGAACCAAGGACAATAAGTTTATTATTATCCTAAAAATCTGCTTAGGACGGTATCGTAACAAATTATTACGATACAAATGTGTAACAATACAATGTATGTTTATAATCAAGAAAGAGGAAAACTAAATTGTCTATCGATCAATGAAGCAAGAATAAATGATTAAAATGAAATAAAAATAATAATATGCCAACACAAGAGTTACACATGTATGCCTTTACGACAAAGTATTTGTCAAATAAAACAAAACTTAATGATTTTAAACTATACTAAGAAAATAATTCAATTATCAATATTTACAGGTATAAAATCATGCGAATCTTGTATGGATTTTAGACCAACGTTTAAATAATAATAATTTTGTTTTATACGAATAGATGCTATATATACCTCTTATAAATGCTTTTCTCATTTATTTTGAATTATATAACGATCAACCGAAAAAGAGAGAAATTTCGAAGATAGCATTCAACGACAATGGTTCAAGAGATGATGGAAAAAGAACAAGATCCTTCTATTTTATTTATCGAAAAAATTTCTGAAACAAATTGTATAAAATGAATTAATAAAACTTAATAATAGATTCAAAGAAAATGAAAACAAATGAAAAATTTTGTTGATTCAATATATATTGAATCGAAATGAAAAATCCGTATCTTAATTTGGGAAAATATTTGATACATTGCAAATATTATATTTTTTTTTTAATTTTTTTTTAATTTTTTTTTAATTTTAATTATCATTAATCGAAAATGATTAGATATTTACAATTTTAATATTTAATAAAATAGAAAAAACAATTAAATTTTTGAAGATTTTAAATTCTACGCTCTGGTTCGTAGGGATTAATAGAAATTTATTGTTGAAATTTTGAATACCAAGCGAAAAGGAAAAATTGAATTTGAGAAAGTTTAAAATTGGTTAATTATAATTAATAAATATTAATCCGAGTATATTATTTTAAGATGTAATCAGTACATTATTTTTATATAATTTAAGACTAGAATGAAAAAATTAAATTTTTGGAGATTATATATTCTAATTGCGATTTATGCGGTAATTAACAATATTTCTCTTATATTTTCAGGTAAAAGAAACAAAAAGAAAATGAAAATAAGAGCGATAACCGCAATCGTTATATCGTTCTAGAATATTATATTTGTTTATTTTAAAAGCATATTTATACACTGTAGAATTAATTATTTTTCTTTTTGCCAAATTTATATTGGAGTGAAATTTTTATTTTTTTTTTATTTTATAGGCTACAAATTTGATTTATTAAATTATGGATTATTAATACGATTAATACAAATGCTATTTTAATGTTTGAAATATAAGAAAGAAAAGTGAAATATGCAAATTGAAAATGAAATAAAAAAAAAGAAAATGAACGATTCGAAATTTTTGTTTTACTTATCGATTCTATTATATCTCCATATTTTTTGTAAATCTCATTTATCGATTAGAGGATTATTTTTTTTTTTTAGATTCGATTTATTTTTTATTTTTTTTTATTTTATCGTATTCTTGTATTTAATAATATTTGGTTTTTTTATAGATTTACGATTTATTGGTTTATAATTATTGAATTTTTATATTTTTATACTTTAATTATTTAACAATTACTAATATTTTAATGTTTCATTGTGATAAAATATTTACTCGGAAAGCAGAAAAGAATATGTCTGTTCCGTTCCGTGTTCGGAAACCGACTACGTTTAATAGATATATGTACAATCACAATGAAAGGAACACATTCGTTTCGCTTCGTATTCGGAAAACGATTACGTTTAAGCGATATGTATACAATAACAATCGACGCGACATCGTTCCGCGATTTACGCTCGCTATAATATTCGTAAGATTATTAATTTTTATTTTATTATTATTAATTTATTATTAATCGTTATCACGGTATTTTTTTGTTTTATATTATTTATAGATTTATATATATTTATTTATAGATTTTTAATTTTAATATTTTTCGTTTTTCGAATAGTTAAAATTTTTTTTATTTAAAGATATCTTTTAATACATTTTTGACAAATTTATCGTATTTCTTATTTTATTTTTTGCGTTCTAATAATTTCAATATACAATAATATTAAATAATTTTAATTACTATAATTTTTTTTCGATATTTTCGTTCATATTTTTGTTTTAATTATCGGTAAAACTTTTAATAATTTTTTTTTTTTCTTGACACAAGAATTTTTACGGTACTGAAACATAGATGAAGTCGAAGACGAAGAACATAAACAAAAGAAAGAAAAAAAAATAAAATGGAAATTAAATTATTTCTTTGAAGAAATATTGAAAAATAAATGGAATTCGAAATCCGAATTAAGTAGTGGATAAATCACTGAAAAACGGCGCATCAATGGTCCACGATTCGATTCTTATAGAACGGAGTTTTTTTCTTACTTTTCTTTTTTTTAAATAAAAATGTTTTTTTTTTCTGGCGATCGAACGAAAATGATCCGAAAGGATGAAGAAAGATCAAAATATAAAAAAAAAACTCGTAAAAAGTATTCTCGAATAGTTTAAATGGTCGAAAATTTTCCCTAGTCTTGACTAGAGTTTTTTCGCGTACGACAGACAAATTCTTAATTTTCCACAAGAGGAGAATTGACCTTCGGTCATCTTTTTCCTACATGGACATGGGATAGTCATTCTCTGATCTGCAGAGAACTTTTCATTCAGGAGACTACTCTCTCCGGATAGCTTTGCCGGGGCGAACACAAATTTTGGAAGAGACACAGGCACAAGATAGAAGGGGAACGTGGCAGCCCCGTCATTTATCGGCTTTTACTTCCGAGGACAAGGAATAGTGTTATGGCTATTTAATGGAAAGGTAACGGGTGTTTAGCGGTAATAAGAGAAGAGTGTCGGTATGTAATTAAAGAAATAAGTAAAAAGGAAGAAGAAAAAGATTAGAATAGAGAAAAATAAATAGGAATAATTTCTCTTTCATGCCTTTTTTTCTTTAATTAAAGGAAGTTAAGGAATACAGTTTTGAAATGAATTATTTATGATTTAAAATTTAAATAATTTAATATTTAAGAGAAAGAAGAAAATTAGATTTAAGAAAGTGCAGAAATTCAATTATAGTTAATAAGGATCAAAGAGACAATAATATATTTGGAAAGATTAAAGAAAGATTAAACGTTTGAATGCTTATCATTTATCATTGAACATGAAAGAAATAATTGGGATTATAAAAGAAATAGATGGCACTAACTGCATATTCTTGTTAATTTGATTATTATTTGAAACATAATTACTAATTAATAAAATGTCGAGAAAAATAAAAGTATAACGAGATTCAGATAAGAGAATTGTGTTACGATTTCTTTATTATTTCATCTCTTTCTACGATGTTCTTCCGTAACAAATTTTGAAATAAATTTAAATACAGCATAAATGTTATTGTAAATGTTTTAACAGCCATTTCTGTATTCTTACGTAACAATTATTATATCTTCAAATGGTAATAAATCATTTCATCTTCACACGGTCATTTATCAATTCCTCTTCACACGGTAA